ATGCCTTGTTCATACCCCACCTCTGCCAGTACTGGGGCGGGAGTCGCATGCGGTGCCATGACCAACAGAGTCTTGGTGTTGCTGCTGTCTGGCATGCAGCTGGCACTCAGTTAGCGGTTGCAGGACTCACTTGTTTCTGTCTGTCCTTTGGTCTCTGCCTCACTCTCCTTCTCTGACTCCTCCCCTGTAGGAGAGACCGGCCCTACGGCTTCATCAGGCAGCGGAGGTTGGTGGTCTGGGTCCTGCACCTTCCTCCTCCTTTTCAGACCCTTCTTATGGGCATCTATAGCTGCAGCTGCCCACTGCCAGCTCCGCCTACTTGGACAAGAACCAAGCTCAGGCTCCCCAGATGACTGTCGGGAAATGAGGAATCACGTGAGCACACGAGTCAAGTCTCGGCCTCCAGAGCAGCCCTGTTGCCAGACACATGGGGAATGTGATGTCATTCAAGATTCCTTTAGTACTCACAGCCCGGCTTCTTGCCTTTCCCCAGGGAGCCAATGTCCTAATTGTGGGGGATTCATTCATTGCTTCCCCCCTTCCAGGCATGACTGACAGTATCTGACTCCATTCCCACCTGCTCCTCTTCCTGACTTCTGTTTCCTTGTGCAATGAGCCTGATGCATGCCAAACCCCATGCAGGTAACTGTTGGATGCTAGGTTCCCATGCATGCAGCACCCCACCTATCCTGCCTGTGTTCATCTGCCTTAGTTCCTTCCTGGGCCTCTCTGTTTCACCGTATCCCAAGCCTTGAAGACCAAGTTTTCACTTCTTGTACTCTTCCTCGCGGATGGGGATCATCCATCCCTCACAGCATCACAGCTTGCTCTCACTTCCCTCTTGACTCCCAGCAGGCCCAGGAATTGCTGAGTGTAGGGGCTAGGACTTGTCCTCAGAGACCTGATTAAAGTAGAGTCCCAGGGGCTGGGGAGATAAAGCAGTCAGTAAGTGCTTGCCTTACAAGCACTAGGACCTGGGTTCAAACCCCAGAACCCACATCAAAAACAAAACAAAACAAAATCACTCATGGTCATGTACTGTTGCAACCCCAGCACTAGAAAGCAAAGATTTGAAGATCCCTGGGACTCAGTGGCCGGCCAGCCTGGTCCATGTGGCAATCTCCAGGCCAGTGAGAGATCTCCATCTCAAAGGGGGGGGGGGTGTGGTGGCAACAGCCAAGAAAACACTATGCTAAGGTTGTCCTTTGGCTTCTGCATGCATGTGCACATACCTGCGTGCACACCTGTACACAAAGAGTGCTGTTCTGTGCGGTCATCCTCTTCTGCCCTAAGTCACACATTCCTGGCTCCTTGCATCATCGTGCACACACCCAGCCCGTCCATCTGACCAGTCCGCAGCAGCAAATGTGCAACCACAGCACATTAGGTGTCTCCCATATACCTGGTTCTGGGGGTGTCCAAATGAGCAAGAGCAGAGAGAGTCCCTGCTCTCCCGGGTATTATAGTCTAGAGTGAATGGCCGAGAGATAAAAATGAAAATGTGATGAATCACCTGCTGAGACAAACGCTCCAAGGAAGGGGCGATTTATTTCATTTGTTTGTTGTTTTGAGCCAGAGTCTCTCTACAGAGCCTTGGCTGTCCTGGAACTTGCTTATGTAACCAGGCTGGCCTTGAACTCACAGCGATCTGCCTGCCTCTGCCTCCCGAGTGCTGTGATTAAAGGCTGGGATTAAAGGCGTGCTCCGCCACATCTGGCAAAAAGTGGTGTTCTTTGTGAAAGACAGATGAAGGGCTTTGGACTGGTCTGATTGTCGGGCGGGGGGGGGGGGGGGAGACGCTTGTCTTACGCTGAAGGATGGACATGTTTACCCGCAGGGAGGGAGCTCCCGCTGCCCTGGAAAGAGGAGCAAGCATCTGGACCTCAGCCCCTTCAAAGCAGGGAACACATATCTACTACCCCAAACTGCGACTTTTTAAAGAGTGAAAACTGGAGCTGTTAATAATTATACTGTGCCACCAGCAGTCACGGGGAACCACCCTGCCCTGCCCTGGTGCCCTGCCACCAGGCACATTGTGGCTGTACTGACTAAAAGGAACTCCTCTCTGCCTCTTTAGTCACAGACAGACCCTGAGCGGTGGGTTAGAGAGATGGCTCAGTGGTTAGGAGCACAGGCCTGCTGCTCTTCCAGTTCGATCCCCAGCACCCACTGGGTGGCTCACAACTGTCTGCAACTCCAGTTCCGAGGAGTCTGATACTCTCTTCTGAACTCCTTGGGCGCCAACCATGTAAATGGTACACAGACATGCATTCAAGCAACAACACTCATACACACAATTAAATTAAAAACAAAACAGGAACATCTCCAATGCCCGTGGAATCTTCCCAAGACCTAAGAGCTCATGTGCCCCCAGATAGGGAAACCAGGGTGCATTCCAAGAACGGGGCAGGCTCCAGTGCTATCATCTTCAGTGATCAGGAGACAGGATCAGGGCTTGTGAGCTGATGTCAGGGAACCCGTGGAAGGGGGCCTGAGTGGCTTCCAGCACCAGCTTTCAGGGTCTGTGGCTCTGGGCCTGGTGCACACACAGGTGGACTCCCCAGGCTCTCCACCTTCCCTGCAACCAAGTCCTGCCTGCTTCAAGGAAAGTGGGGAACTTGGGGATCTTGTGGTTCCTTTGAGTTTCTTATCTCCTTTGTGATGAGGCATGGTTTGTTCTTAGGGTGTAAGTAGAGCCTCTTGGAGTGAGAAATGAGCGGTGTGTGTGACTCCTTCTGTCCCTCGGTCTGTTGGACTCTCAGACTATTAATACCAGCCACGTGTCTGGCTGCACCCCAAGCACACGTGCTCCCCACAATAAAATGTCACCCCTCCCAGCTCAGCCTGCTATTTGTTCTTTCTGATTGGCGCCAGCCTCATAGACCCCATGGAGGTAGAATATAACTTGCCATAAATAAACTCTAACCTGACCTACAATTTAGCCCTTGGGTTGTTTTGGTTCTCTCTCTCTCTCTCTCTCTCTCTCTCTCTCTCTCTCTCTCTCTCTCTAAGTGGTAATGGGATCGTAGCCCAAGATGGTCTCTCCTACATCTCCAGTCCCAGAAAGCAAATTCTAGGTGTGCTCAGGTTTGGGCATTACTTGGACTCTCTGGTCTCCCACACCCCTGGCATGCGGTGGGAACACAAGGGCATGCTGAAGGATGGTGGATGAACTCCCATGCATCCACAGGAGGCTATGCACAGCCTCAGTGTCTTTGTGTGAGTGGGGTCTTTGCTCAGAGGGTCTAGGACCCCTTCTCCTTCAGACATATCTCTAGCAGCTCCCTCTTCTCTGTCCCTTCCCTAACCACTGTCCCCTGGGGTCACCATAAAGCTAATGGTTCCCGCCTGGCTCTGAATCACAGTAGTCCAGCTGATTCTTCCCGGTGTGCCCACTGGACTCTGAGTAGCCGAGTGCGTGCCAGTACCAGGGACTGAGCTCCAGCTGGTTGTGGGGAAAGCATTTTAATCCTGGGCGCCCCAATCTACTCAGACTCAAGCACAAGCCTGCTTCCTGAGTCCCTGTTCCCACTCCCTGTACCACACCATCTTGGGGTGGATCTGGCCAAGGTCTCCATTGCCTCCTTGCTCTGGGACATTCTTCAGGATGCCAGGATTCTCTGAAGGATTCTTCAGGGGGTCTGGAACCACAGGGAGTCTGGTGACACTCAGTGATACTTATCAAAGACTTGATGGTGATAATTCATTTGGGGGGATTTATTGGGAGTTAAAACAAAAAATCAGTAGGGGCCGGAGATAGAGCTCAGTGGTAGAGAGTTTGCCTGGCATGTACAAAGTCCCGGGTTCGATTCCCAGGATGTGCGCACACAAATCAGGGATGGACACCTACTTTAGGGATAGTATTCCCCTGACACAAAGATGCACTTGACTTGATTTAAAGGGTTGCCGTTTCAAATCCTGTTTTAGAAAAATCAGGTTGTTTGTGGGTAGCAGGAGAGATTGAGACAGGGCCTCATCTAGCCCTGGTTGGCCTTGAACTTCCAATTCTCTTGTTTTCACCCCCACTCCCCATTTCCCAGGTGCCAGGCTCATGGATCCACCAGTCCCCTTTCTTCTTATTGCAACCAAAAAGTAGCTGCTGAGTCCCAGCATGCAGCACTAGCAGGCATTTTCAGGAGACCCCGATGTTGAGAGAAGAGCCAGGCATCCCTCGGCCTTGGAAGACCTCACACTTTAACTGGGGAGGTGTAAAAATCACATTTAGAAAAAGCTCGGCCCAGTTCCCCGCGCACTGGTCCTCAGTTGTACTGGGATTTGCATCTGTCCCAGCATCAAGCAGGGCTTGGCCAGACTCGACAATATCCCGTGAAATGAGTGCACAGGGGAGAGCTGGAATTGGGATGTCTTATGGTGTGGGCATCACGAGAGAGAGGGTGCATCCGACACTGGGACATTTCTGGACGCTTCGGGGAGCAAGTGAAAGGTTCCATGAACCCTAAAGAAAGGGAGGAACTCAGGGGGCGGTGACAAAGGGAGCCGGCAAACTAAAGAGGCAGGGATCAGAAGCGATCAGCAGGGATCAGCAGTGATCAGCAGGAATCAGCAGTGATCAGCAGGGCCCTGTGGAGTCGGCAAGAGGGCTTGGGAGAGTGGGAGATGAGGATTAAGGTGAACAAAGTCTTGATGCGAGAATGATCTGGGGCAAGGGGAATGATTCGGTGAAGCCGGCACTTTGGGGGGACAGTTTGGGGGGCAGTCTGCTAAGAGGAGGCGGGCCCAGCAGGGGAAGGAGGGCTGGGTTTGAAAAGGAAGAAATGAACATGACTTTTCAAAGCTAGCACATAATTGCCACAAGGGCTACCAGAGAGTCGTCACAGGTGTCTTCAAGGTTTGGGTCTTGTGACCAAGGGAAGGGTGTGAGATGACATTGTGTGTGGTTGACCAAAAAAAAAAAAAAAAAAAAAAAAAAAAAAAAAAAAAAAAAAGAGAGAGAGAGAGAGAGAGAGAGAGAGAGAGAGAGAGAGAGAGAGACCACATCCTCCTGATCATAATTCATTGTCTTTATTAACAATGCCTCCGGTCGCCAAAAAAACACACTTGTGTTTCACAAAGCGCTATTAACACTGTCATTCTCTACAAGAAAAACGTTGGCATAAATAACTTAAATGAGAAAATAAATATGTCACTGAACTCTTTAAAAACCACGACTTCCATTCTTGTGGATGAGTCCCACATGGAGAGTTTGCCAAACCCACCAGGCTAGCCCCAGGGGCTTCCCTCCTCCAACGTGGTTACAAACATTCTTTTCTCCCCCCCCCTCCCTTTTTAACAATTAAAACCCACACAGAAAGTAAGAGGTGTCTGGAAATGATTTACAAAAAGATTTGTGGGTGGCGGCTGTGGCGCCTCACGACCTCTCAGCATATGTACAGCACTTGTTCCCCTCCCCCCCACACCCCACACACTATTTTTCATGTAAGATATGCCATCACGAAGGAGAGCACGAAGAAGCTGTTTTCCTAGACAGAAATGTGTCCGTGGGTGGCAGGCGGGAGGAGCTGTCCTGGAAGAGACATCTTTGGTTGGAAGTGGCTGGCAAGCCCGGTTTCCCCCCAAGGACCTTCATCTGTGTGTAGAAAACCCCTTTAAAATGTGTCAAGGCTGTAGGGGCAGGAAACCGAGCTTTGGGGAACAGGGTTGCGATTTCTGTCCCTTCCACCATCTCTGGGACCCCAATCCCAGTTGAAGGCAAACTTGAGATGAAGGAGTGGGGGTAGCCAAACATCTGGGGAGGCCAGGCCAGGAATCAACAGCCTCTTCTAGGAAGTTACCAACCAGAAATCTCTTTCCCTCTCTCTCTCCCTGGCTCGCTCCCTGTCCCGTCCATCTGCCCATGTCCTTGGAATCTCAGCAGAGTCCTTGGAGAGTCTTACTCTCACCCTGACCCATATTTTACAAAGGAGACACTGAGGTACCAAAAAGAAAACCACGTAGCTCAACCTCACACTCAGTGGCCAAGCCAGGGCCCAAACCCCTATCTAGTCCCGTGCTCTTGCACACAGCGGGGTGGGGGTGGGGGAATCTTACTGTACTTCCGTAACCGGGTTCTTTCACACTCCCCTCCCTTTATGGTGAAAATGCTACCTTGTCCCGTAGAGGGTCCTCCACCTCTCCCCTCCCCCCGAACCCCTCCCCCAGGGTTGGGCAGAGTGGCTCAGTGTCTATGACTCAGCTCCCTCTCCTGGCCTGGGGGAACAGTCCGCAGCAGGCAGGAGGGCGAGGGGACTCTACGGGTTGGGGACTCCGCGCATGGCCTGGAAGGTTTGGTGCCCTTGGCTTGGGCTGCAGGCTTTACAATGAAAACGAGTCGGATCGCTCGGGGGCTGCGTGGGCGCGGGAGCGCTCTAGTAGGCGTTCTCCAGCTCCGCCTGGTTGGCTTTGGCGCCCCGGGCGCGGGGCCGTGGCTTGCGACCCTTGTGCGGTCGCGCGGTCTCGGGCCCGAAGTCCTTGAGCTCCGACTGGTTGTGGAAGCGTGTGAGGCGCTTGCATTTGCAGGAGGCCACCAGACGCACCTTGCGCGCGCGCGGCGCCGCGCCCCCGGGGCACAGCAGCTGCACCCGCTGAGCGCGGTAGCGGTCCGGGATGCAGCGGAAGTCGGGTCCGTTCGGGCGCCACCACTTCGCGCGGCCGATGGCGTTGGGCAGCAGGCGCGCGGGGCCACACTGGCCGGAGCACACCAGCTCGGTGACCGGCTTGGCGCTGCGACACGGCCCGTCGGTCACGAAGCGGGTGTAGTGCAGCTCACGGCAGCTGTATTCCGACACGTCTGCGGAGAGAGGGAAGTGTGAGGGTGGCATCCTAACCCAGGCTGTCCTGCTCCCGCCATTCCTCCCTTTTTCCAAACCTGCCGCTCTTCTGGCGCTTTGGCACCAATGCATGGATTATAGAAAGGAAGCACCAGGTACTTCTGGAGCTTGCGGGGGGAGCGGGGAAAGATCTCTCCCTGGCTGCTCTCTGTCCTTAGAACCCAGAGATCAAACACCAACGCTCTATCATGTACTTTCTTTGCGATCTGTGGGCAGGTAACTTGACGTCTCTCTTCCCCACATCTGTAAAATAAGTGGCCCCAAGATTCAATGACCTCATCCACTATGTGCGCATTATACCCGGCACTATGTGGCACCGAGTCAGAGCTGGCAGTTTGTTCTTGTTTGTGGACTGGGTCTTATGTAGCCGGGGCTGGCCTCAAAACCAGCTGTGTAGTTGAGGATGATCTTGAATTTTTGCTCTTCCATCTTCACCTCCCCGGTGGTGGTTTACCAGCGTGGGTCACTCACTCTGTCTGGCTTACGAGGTACTAGGGATCCGGCCCAGGGCTTCGTGCATACTAACCAAGCTCTCTTCTAATTTAGCTCCTTATCCCCAGCCCTGCCTAGCAGCCGCTAGCCACACCTGGCTGGCTCTGGTCCCTTCCAAACTCCTGTACCAGCCACTGGGGCAGGGGAGGGGTCCCAGGAGATGGAGAACCGAGTGGAGGTTAATTGAAGGTAATAAATCAGGACAGCTGCTGTGGAGGAGCGGGTAGAAGGGCAGGTGGCGGGGATAAGAATTCATTAGACTTGAAAGGCACCAAAGGCAGCGTTTCCAACCCCCTCATTATCACAGGTCCAGGCTGAGAAAAGAACTTGCCCCAAAGGCAGGGCTGGGCTGCCTGACACCCCTGCCCAGGACTCCAGCACCTTCTGGCTCCTGCAAGGGTGAAAATGATTTGTCAGAAGATCCCAGGCTGGGGGTGGGTGGGGGTAGAGGGCTGCTCACTCTTTGCTAGCTACTTCCTTAGCAGAGGGGGTCAGAACCCCCAACCCTACAGCTTCTGCTCCCATAAGCATTTGTTGAACACCTGCTGCATACCAGGCTTTCTTGTTCAGTGGCTCGCGGTAATCCGAGCCTGCGCTCTGGTGAGGGAAGTTGGGTCTGATGTGCCGGCCTCATCTATCTCATGCACACATCCAGGCTATGTCTCCTGCCGTGAGCTTAGGTGGATGGGAGCTTTTAAGCTAGCTAATTCATTTGCGAGTTCTGTCCACCCCGCAAAGTTTCACAGGGTCAGGGCTAATATGACACAAGGATTTAAAAAAAAAAAAAAAAAGTTCCAGGACCAAAACCAGAGAGGAGCTGAGGCCAGGATCCACCTCTACCCCAGAGAGCAGGCGCAGCAGGAGGTGTGTGTGTGTGTGTGTGTGTGTGTGTGTGTGTGTGTGTGTGCCTTGTCACCCTCCTGTGGCTGGATTTTTGGTTTCTGGGCTGATTTGACTTCTTCACCCCTGCAGAGGTGGAGGCGGTCTGTTTGCCCAGGGAAGGAGAAGTTTTGGGGCTTTCCAAGAATAGTGCCTGTAGGTCAGGCACTTCCTCTGCAAAACGTGACTGCCTTGCATGCTCCTTTGGGGTGGCCCTTTCCCCCACATCCCTTACTGGCTAGGAGACAGGAGACACAGAGTGTGGCGGCAGCCTGGGAAGTGAGCTTCTGTCCCACTCAGATGGTGACAAGCAGGCAGCAAGGTCATCACTCTGGAGCATGTCCCTCCGCACCCCAGTCATCCCTGCCAGCTGTGCACCCGACCCCCCAGGCACTTCTCTGCGCAGGCCTGCCTCCACAGGCTCTGTCCCCAGGAATGAGGCGAAGCTGGGGCCAGGGTGCAAGCAGAGGGCAGACGGTGCCACCTGTGCCCAGACGGGGGATGGGTCCACTCAACTGCCACTCATGTCAGGGGCTAAAACCGTACCCCAAACCCTGCTCTCCAGTGCTATCCCCCTGGGCTCAACAAGGAGAACTGAAGGGGTTCTTCCTGGCTTCAGGCTGCCACTCAGACCCAGTCTAGGTTGCGCACAGCTGGATCAAAGCAGCTTCCAGTCTCAGCTCTTCTTACCCCCTTTATCTCAGGAGCCTGGGTTTCTCCACCTTCAAGCTAGGGCTTTACCTCCTGGAGCGGCCACGTGGGATACAGTACAGCCACAGCCATCCAGCATCCATCAGGTGCCATGGCTACCAGCCTTACCTTGTCACCTCCCCACTGGTCCAGCTAGATCTGACCCCGGGGTCCTCCTTCTCAAGGAGATTCTTTGAACCATGGTACAAGCCCCGTGCCCACGTTAATGTCAGCTTTGGCTGATCTCAGCCTCCCCGCTGCCTTGGATGCTCAGCCAGCCCCCCAAGCCTGTCCTCAGATTCTAACAATCATGCTAGCATTCTTCCAGGCAAGCCTGTCCCTCCCCTGGTGTGGCAGAGGCTAAGTATCTACCCAACCGTCAAGGCCTCCAAAGAGCAGATTCTGGAACTACCCGGGGTTCCTCCCAGGACCCCCATGCTAACAACCTGTCTTCTCCATCCCATACCTTTGGTGTCATAGGGATGGTGGGGAGGTCTTCCTCCGTTCTCGGCCCGGTTCATGGTCTGGTTGTTCTCCAGCTCCTGGGGAGGCTCAGGGTACTCTCTGAGCCCAGGGATGATTTCTGTGGCATCATTCTTGAAGGCTTGCCACCCCTGGCCCTCCGCAGCAGGGAAGGCTGCATGAACAAGCAGACAGACAAGACACTGGGCCAGTGAGAGCTGCATGGTGCCAGATGGAGGGCAGTCCCTAGCACAGGCTCCAGTCCCCAGCCTAGATGCAGTGGCCTTTTTAAAGCCCCTCTGCCTCATGCCAGCCAATAAGGAGGGGCTGAAACAGGGCTGGTCCCATGTTTCCTACCCCCCTCTCCAGGGGGAAAGGGGTGTGCTCAGAGTGAGCCCTCCCCAAGACTTCTCGAGCTCAGCAAACTTCCAAATTGCTGCTGGCACTCCCAGGTGACCCAAGGGGGGTGGGGGGCGGAGAGGCAGGGACAGAGTTAAGCTCTCCCAGCACCTCCCACGTTCAGACGGCTGTGGTTTTCAGATATCAAAATGAGCTTGGCTTTTAATTGTCTGGTTCCCTGGGCCCCTCAGGCATTCTCAAAACAAACTGTGGGCCAGCTTAACAAAGGAAACATGTGGGGCTCCGGGTTCTACCGAAGGCAGAGTCCAGCTGACCAAATTCCTCCAGCCAAGTTTCTTTGCCACCCCACCAGCTAATGGTCTTAATTAAAGGTGTTTGTTTACACCCCACTCCCACCCAGAAGCAGAAGGTTGCCTTTTTATTGGGGGGGGGGAATTCTGGAGAATCCAACCTAGGGTCTCAGATTTGCTATGCAAACCCTGTACAGGAATGCTTTTAAAGAAACTCCATTGGCCTCACGTCCATATGGCTCAACACTAATGGTTCTGAGCAAAAAAGTGTCTTGGCTTTCTCTTCAAAAATGGGGGGTGGGAGTAGTAGAGAGTCCAGAGCCCCCAGTGAGAAGGTGGGGTTCTGGTGACAGGTTGAGGTAAGCAGGTCACCAAGGCTCTTGGAGATGGAGCACAAAGAGGAAATCTCGTCTACTCTTTGGGACCTGGGATCTGTCACAGGTGATTTTTAGCCAGGGAACTCAATGTGGTTTATAGACTGGTGTGCCAAAGGTAGTTCCTTCCCTGGCCAGGTCTGAAGCAGGCAACATGGATTCCCATTTCTTAGCAAAAGCTAAGGTCAGTGCTTTTAGTGCTGATGTTTCCCCCATCATCTCTCAGCTTATTACATTTTCTGTGTACATGCGTGAGTGTGAGTGAGTGTGTGTGTGTGTGTGTTATATGTGTGTAAGTATACATGTGTGGGTTCATGCAAAGACCAGAGGAGGTGTGTTCTCCTCTGTCACTCTCCAAGTTATCCCCCGAGACAGGCTCTCTTACTGAGACATGTAGGTTAGGCTGGCTAGCTGACTAGTGAGATCCCATGATCTACCTGCCTCTACCCTCCTACCCCACCCCCGCAATCCTGGGGTTATAAGCACATATGGCCACTTTTCCACATGGACGCTAGGGATTCGAACTCAGGTCTTCATGCTTGCACAACATGCACTCTTACCAAGTTATCTCTCTAGTCTCTCATTATATTTTAATAAACAGCTCCGAGTCCTAGAGGAAAGACCCAAGGGACACATGTCACAGATGAGTTTCAGAAAGCCATCTCAGGTCCATCTAGGCCACTGGTTCTCAACCTTCCCAATGCTGTGGCCCTTTAAAACAGTTCCTCACATTGTGGTCATCCCCAACCATAAAATTATTCTCATTGCTACTTCATAACTGCAATTTTGACAGTGTTATGAATCATAATGTAAACAACTGATATTTCCCATGGTCTTAGGGTTGATGAACCCTGTGAAAGGGTCATTCAACAACCCCCATGGGGTCATGACCCACAGGTTGAGAACCGTGGGTCTAGGCACAAAGACATCCAAAGGAGTGGCTGGCTCAGCCAGCCGTGACAGAAAGGGCCATGCCACGGGGAGAAGGAGGGGCGTGAGCAGGAGGGTTCACACCTGAGGCGCAAAAAAAGGAGGGCCGGCGGAGGCCTTCACTGAGATGGATTGTTGGAGGATGCCCCAGCCCCAGAGGAAGGCTGGAAGGAAGGCTACGGTCCACCTCGCCGCCACCTTGGTATGTGAACTGTGCGATGCGTCAGTGTCCCCCACCTACACAGCTTCTGCAGGGCTCTGCCACCTGCCTCGACTTGTAAGTGGCCCGTCCATCTGTGGCCAGCCGCCTGTGTGCTCCTTTTCATCTCCATCACCCACACATCAAGGCAGCTCCCCTGACAGTTTTACAAGGCAGACAGAAGTCCCCTCAGGAAGGGCCCTCTCTGATACCTGCTTCCTAAGTCAGTTTCCTTCGGGGCAGACAAAAACAGCTGTGGCCATTGTTGGGGGTGATCTATCTCTCACACCAGAGCTGTGGTGTTGTTAGAAGCTGCCCCCTCCTTTTGTCTGTGACCTCCAGTCTCCTTTTTCCCTGCTCTGGAATGTGGACTGTTAACCCTGTCTGGGCCAGAGAGCCAGCCTGTTGCTTCCTCCAGACTTGGGAGAGGGGCAGTTCCTGGGCAGGGGTTCTGTGAGCATGCAGAGTGGTTCTCACAGCACCACCTGCTGACGGGAGACGACAACCGGCCACCTTAAACAGAGCGGCAACCTGTCCTTGGAACACTTCCGCCACCTGCTGGACGGACCTAAGAGGAGAAACCCGGTGACCAGAGAGTGGCCGGGCTCGGGATTGAAGCGGTGGTAACAGGAAAAAGGGTGTATACAGAGAAACTGAGCTCCTTAAGGGCATCCCTCTGGATCATCCTCTGCCAACGGGCAGCCCTGCCCTTCGAGGATGGCTCTGATAACCTGCTGCGGTGCCTGCCTTCTGTTTTTTCCACTTGAGGTTAAGTCAGTGATGGGTGTATTTACTCAACACAAAAACCTTATCACCTCCCAAGGTTAAGCAATAGATAGTCTTGGGGTCAAACCTCAGGTCTCAGTGGGTGCCTGTTGACTGCAGTTTAGGGTCTCTCTTCTTTCTTTCACCTGTCTGTCTGTCTTTGTTTTTCAAGACAAGGTTTCTCTGGGTAGCCCTGGATGTCCTGGAACTCACTCTGTAGACCAGGCTGACCTCAAACTCAGAGCTCTACCTGCCTCTGCCTCCCCAGTGTGGGGATTAAAGGGTCTTTCTGACCTCTTGTTCTCAATAAGACTGCTGTAAACATTTTTGTGTGATGTGATGGGTTTGTTGTGTAGTTTGTCTGTGAGATGGCCTTGCTGTGTGTGTATCCCAGGCTACCTTCAAATCCACGGTCCCCCTTGCTTCAGCTTCCCAATGCTGTAGTGACAGGTGCATACCGCCACACCTGGAGAGTTTAATTATTCTTGTAAATTTGAGATCATTGTAAGTTGACAAGGACTTGAAATAATTCAGAGGGATTTTATGTCTTCTCTGCCCGGTTTTCCTCCATGGTAACAGCTCACAAAAGGTGCCGGTACAGGTGCCACAACCAGGACACACCAGTCTTACATCCTCCCTGATTTACATGTGCTCATGCCCATGTGCACCTACTTGTAGCACATGCTCATGTATTTGCTTTTTTTTTTTTAATTATTTTATCTATGAGTGCTCTGTCTGCATGTGTGCCTGCAGGCCAGAAGAGGACATCCGATCCCATTATTGATGGCTGTGAGCCACCATGTGGGTGCTGGGAATTGAACTCAGGTCCTCTGGAAGAACAGCCAGTGCTCTTAACCGCTGAGCCAGCTTCCCAGCTCCACTCATATTTCTATTTCTGTGTGATTCATCACATGAGATTTGCCTACTCACCACCACAATTAAGATGAAGAACAGCTCCATGGCCCCAGGGATCTGACCTAATGTTCTTTCATCATTTATTAATTTTTTTGAAACAGTGTCTCCTTGAACTCCAGATCCACCTCCCAGGTGTTGAGATTACAGGTTCATGCCATCACAGCCCGCTCTGTCGATTTTACCAAGATGTCCACCCGCCTCCCTCACCCTCCCTCTTCCAGGCCCAACTCATGGCAACCACCAATCTAACCTTGATTTCCATAGTTTTTCAATTAAAAAATGTGATGCAGCCGGGGCGGTGGTGGTTGTACACACCCTTAATCCCAACACTCTGGAGGCAGAGGCAGGCGGATCTCTGTGAGATCTGTCTACAGAGCGAGATCCAGGACAGCCAGGGCTACATTGAGAAACCCTGTCTCCAACAACAACAACAACAACAACAACAACAACAACAACAACATATTATGCAGATGCAACCAATGCTTGTCACTGTTTTTCACTCGACACAATTCCCTGGAGTTATCTAGTGTATGGGTACAATGACAGGCACGTGTCCTTCACGAGTGTCCTACAAAGAATTTTCATTGCCCAAGTTCCCTGTGTTCCCCCTACTCACCCTTCTCCTCCCATCCCAACTCCTAGCACACTCGGAGCTCTTTTCTGTCTCTATAGGCCTTACATTAGCCAGAACACCATCAGCTGGTCTTACACAGCATGGCAGCTTTCCATGTTGGTACCTCCAACAGCTAAGTTTTAGGTGTTTTTAAAAAAGACTTTTTTTCTTTTGGTTTTTCGAGACAGGGTTTCTCTTTGTAGCTTTGCACCTTTCCTGGTAGCCCAGGCTGGCCTCGAACTCACAGAGATCCGCCTGGCTCTGCCTCCCGAGTGCTGGGATTAAAGGCGTGCGCCACCACTGTTTTATTTTATTTTTAATTATGTGTACATCTGTATGTGGGTGTGTGCTTCTAAGTGCAGGCGCCTGTGGAGGCCAGAAGTACCGGATCTTCTGGACCTGTTGTAAGTGGTTAGTGAGCCACCCAACATGGGTGCTGGGAACCAAACTCAGGTCCTATACAAGAGCAGTATGAATTCTTAACTGAAGTCACCTCTCCCAACCCCCTCAGTTATTATTTTTAAATGTTAGAAAAAGGCTGTACAGGTATGGTTGGCATGTGCCTTTAATCCTAGCACTTGGAAGCAGAAGGCAGGGAATCAGGAGTTCAAGGCTACAGATGGAATTTGAGGCCAGGCTGGACTACATTGAGACCCTACCTCAAAAACAATAGCACCACCACAACAGAAGTTAGAAAAAGCAAACACAAAACAAGCCAAACCTATAAAAGGAAACACACCCAAAACAGATCTCTTCGTAAGATAAGACATTTATTTTGGTTACAATTTTATAGTGTGTTAACACTGGTGGTACAACAGACATTAAACTTTCCTTTTCCCCCCAATGGCAGGAATCGAACTCAGGGCCTTGCCCGCTCTGGCAGGTGACAGTGCTCTGCCTCACCTCCCACCCCCTTTCCCCTGAACCTTTTCTGTCCAGTAAATCACTCTCATTCAAGTTACCCTAACAGCTGAGGGCGTTAGAAAAACACAAGCTTAACATTCACCACTCTTCTCTCTGCCCTGAGACTATTACGATTTACTATTTACGATCGGGATAGAATCTTGATCTGGAAGGACCAGCTGATGCCACTTTTATGAAAAAGAAAATGTTCTGTGAGAAAAGCTCTTATCTTCATATTTAAGATCAGTGCTTATTTTGATTAAAACATTGAGCATCTTCATACTACAAGCATCTTAAGGTGAACTTGTGGCTGGAAAGGCACCAACCTTCTCCACAGCGCCACCTGCTGGCCACAGCATCATTACTCATGCCCATTTCCCGGGGGGGTCGGGGGAGGTGTTAAAAACCAACAGGGGATTCTTAACACAACCTCCCGTGTTGGAGCCCAAAAGAGCCTTAGTGTGAGCCAAAGGAGTTCCCTCATTTGGTAAGTGTTGTTGGTCTATGCTCTCAAGATAGGAGAATGGCGGAGGGGAACAGCCTGCCTCTGGGAAGGCAGCCGGCCTACTTGAAGACTGAGGAGGAAACCATTTTACATTTTAATTTTAACCTGGATCTTTATGAGTCAACGAAAGTGATCAGGTCCAGGGAAGAGGAAAGGACATCCTGAATTCTTTATTCCATCACTTTCCGGGATAGACCACCCTCCAGGAACGGCCCCACTCGAGGGCAGGCACGTGGCGGCTCTTGGACAACACACGGCTATTCTAGCTGAAGAAGTAGGAGCTAATCTCTCTGAGCACGGGGTAAAGCCAATCAAGAAACCCTCAACTTCCAGCAAAGAGCCCCAAAGGAAAGGCAGGAGTCTCCTAAGGGCCCCTTCTCCTCCTTTTTCCACAAAGGCTGCCAGGAGTAAACCGCAGTGGGCTGTCCTGTGGGGTTGGCACCCAGACGAGGCAGGAGGAGGGGAGCCCAGACTCTCCCAGAGCAGAGTTCATCCTCACCGGTGTCACCCAACTGACAGGGGACCCACCTTTTACTTCCTTTTCTGGGGATGGCTCAAAGACATGCACAGGGTGCTTGGACATCACTGGGAGCTGGTCTCAGAGGCATTAGAGCCAAGAAGAGCCCAGCTTCCTTAAGCAGCAAGCCTGAAACTACTTCCACTTAGCTTTAAAGTGCTGGGTGGCCCTTAATTATGCGAATTGTTTTGATTTTGAAACACAGGATCTTGCTATTGTAGCCTAGAGTCTCAACATGGAGACCATACTGGCGTCGAACTTGCAGGGATCCCCCTGCCTCTGCCTCCCATGAACTGAGACTGTAGACACGTGCTAGCGTGCCCCGCTATCCCAGGTAGTTTTTGTTTGTTTTGTTTTCTCTCATGACGACACACAGGTAAGTTCTGTCAACTTTACAGGGTTATCATGAAGTGCCAATCAGATGAAGCAAGAAAGCCACTTGGAAACTACGGAGTGAGGTGCAACGTTTGGCTGTGGCCACTTCATTCTGGAAAGAAGATGACGGGTCCCGTGTGTCCGGGGCTGCTGTGGTCACACAGGAGAGGGGACAGTGACCGTCCAGGCTGCACAGTTCTGCCCCTGCTGTCATCAGAGGTCTTTACTCCTCCAGGAGTCAGGCCCTAAGATGGACCTGCTTCTCCAGGCTCCTGCCAGACGCTCCTCAGCAGCTCTGAAAAAGGCACATTCCCCACCTTCACGGTCCACACGGCCGAGGTTTCCGTTTAAAGCTGAATTTGAAACATTCAACAAAAATCCCTGATATTTCTCTCCCTCCAAGTAAGATTTCTTGGCAAACTCCGGCAAGACATCCTACAAGCAGGCGTACAGGCTGCCGGGACCCAGGTGCCCCGTGACAACACCACTCTATACACACTGGGCAGCCCCACAGCCCCAGGTCGCCTAAAAACAGGCTTTTATAAGATGCCTATGTGCTAGGTGCTGGGGTGGTGGCTGAGTGCCACCCCTCTGCTCTGTGTGGCCCTGGATACACACAGAGCAACAAGAACAAGTCCCAGGAAGACTGTGTTCACTCTCTGGCAAGTGTGTACACACATAAGGTCCAGCATGTTTTCAAACCATCCTTACAAAGTCCTTTACAAGGTCATTCTTTGTTCTCTCTCCAATAAAGGAGAGATCTGCCGGCATGACACAGTGAGTCTCATTTCTGCCCAGAGAGTCACTCCATCAGAACCACCCATAAATGGGCAGGGTGAGCACAGGGACTCTTCTTTCCCCTTCTGTCCCTGAGGGGACAGCACCCCCCACCCCCACCACTTCACACCCATGCACACACCCATGCACATGAGCTGTAATTGGGCAACTTCCTCCTTCCAGTCTTAGAATAGCAACCAGGATGACAAGCAGTTAGTATGATCACTTGGGCTCACCCACACTATAATTCAGGATAAAACCCTTGCAATTCTCCAAATGGTGGGTTTGTTTTTTTGTTTTTAATAGGCCGGACCTCAACACCCTGTATTCTAAAAAAGAGAAATAAAACCCTGCCCAAGGCATCGTTCTAACAAAGCAAAAGAACAGAGCCATCCACAGAGAAGGCACCAAAGCAGCAGATATGGAACGTAAGATTCCCCAAAGAGGCACACTCTAAACATCCCAAAGAATCGGGAGAGCCCTCCAGGAAAAACAGATCTGCCTACCCAAGGGCCCCCGTATAATGTCTTTAATTCTAAGGAAATAAAACGCAGCCTCTTCGTGGAAATTCAGCCACTAATAACCTATCTCCACCCTGCTTCGGAACTCATGCCTCTGCCTAAGAGGGTGTGGTGGGCTGTGAGGACCAGTGGCTGACAGACGTGGGGAGAGCAGAGCCTGTTTGCATAGATCCTTTACCAGGGTCACCATGCTAGACCACTCAGGGGGACCCAGGTCGGGGAGGGAGCGCCTGTGAGCGTCTTGGGGCCTTACACCCTCCCAGGCCTCCTGCCCGGGGCCACTGAGATGTATCTATGCCACAGGCTTCCTCCCTGAGCCCCCACCTCAGAGAAAGGACATAGACTACAGGAAAGGACAGCCAAGGAGCAGGAACGGCCTCCTCAGCAAGCTTCTTCATGTGCTCCCTAAGGGCAGAGCAGCCCCGGGCCACAACGGGACAGACATGGGCAAGTGCCTCGTGACACTGGGAGCAGGGTACACTGTGTTTCCTAAGCATGGCAGTCAGACCTCTGCAGGAGGGGCTGTGGGCACCCTAGAGTTTCACCTTCCCCTCCTTGACTAGTCTGTCATTGAGCTGGCAGAGTTGGGCCAGGAAACCATCATTGGGGCCGATCTCCCGATTCTGCCTCACGGTGCTGAGGGCAGACTTGACGTCCATCTTCTGCCGCATCATGAGGTAGGCGATGACTAGCGTCGGGGAGCGGCTGTACCCCTCACGGCAGTGGACGAGCACCCGGCCTGCGAGAAACGGGGGAGATGAGGTAACTGGGGAAGCCCAGACTCACTGCAATTCTGAAATTCTCCCATCCAACCAGTAGAGGGCGTATCGCCATGCCACCGCGTCCCACCCTGAACGGCCACAATAATAAGAATGAAAGACCCAGTGTCTGATCAGGGACAGAAGGGAAGCAACCAGGACTCTCCCCTATCACTAGGGAAGGCAGGGGGTGAAGCGGCCCCTCCGCCATGGAAACCTGGCAATAGCTACTCAAGTTGAACACCTGCGCCCCCTACTGCCGAGCAGTGGTACTGCAACCCAGACACCTCCACAGAAAGAAGACACAGCCCTCGGTGTTCTGGTTTTTTGTTGTTGTTGTTCTTCCGAGACAAGGTTTCTCTGTGTAGTTTTGGTGCCTTTCCTGGAACTCACTCTGTAGCCCAGGCTGGCCTCGAACTCACCAGGCAGTGATCTGCTTGCCTCTGCCTCCTGAGTGCTGGGATTAAAGGCGTGCGCCACCACCGCCCAGCTAACCCTCGGTGTTCTTACATCTTAGAACCACTACAGTGGCCCCCAGGTGGAAATTCCCAAGACTATCGACAGTAGAATGGGTAAATAATAAGAGTCTTTTTAAAAAGAATTAATGATCGAGGTAGGGCCAGTGAGAGGGCTCGGCGAGCAGAGGGGCTTGATGTCAAACTAATGACTTGAGTTCAAACCCTGGAACCCACATGGTAGAGAGAACTATCTGACTTCCACACACGTGCCCAGTACAGTCACCCCTTCACCCCCATGTACATGCATATATGTGTGTGTTAAATAAATAACAAAGAATTAATGATCTAGTCAGATGTGGTGGAACACATCTGTAATCCCGACACTGTAAGAGGCTGAGGCAGGAGAGTCATCGGAAGTTCAAAGTCATCTTAGGCTACAGAATGAGACCCTGACTCAAAAAAATAAAAAATAAAAAAAAGAGATGGCCCGGTAGGTAAAGGCATTTGCTGCCAAGCCTGATGACCTGAGTTCAATCCCTGGGACCCACATGATTGGGGAAAAGAAGTGACCCTTGTACATTGCACTCTGATGTCCACCCATACACTGTAGCATGCACACACACACACACACACACACACACACTAAATATGCAACCCACCAGAAAGCACAAAAATGTAATAGGGTTCCACAGAGCAGAAAAGAGGCCCAACTAAACCACGCTCTTAGAAGCCTGAGCAGTGGTAACCTGGGGGGGGCACAGAGACGGGAGGGGGCACGGAGCAGGCTTTCTGCGGTGCTGGCTGTGTCCTGTTCCTCGACCTGGGGGTTGGTACACGGGTGTCTGTCATTCACTTTGTGACATCGGACTTCTCTATATGAAACCAGGTATGGTGCCACGTGCCGGGAATCCTAGCACTCAGGAGGCTGAGGCAGGAGGATGGCATTACTCTGTGTTAGAACAAAACAATGTACACAATTAGATAAATAAGGTGTGCCATGTGTGTCCATACAATGTGACCCTTGTCAGGAGGCACCGGGAGACATGGCTCAGCGGTTAAAAGCGCTTGCTCTAGATCCAAGTTTGGTTCTCAACATCCATATCAGGCAGCTCACAGCCACCTGCAACTCCAACTCCAAGGGGGTCCGAGACGTTTTCCGGCCTCCATGGGCACCTGCACACACGTGGTAAATACACTCACACAAATAAATAAAAATAAAGTATGTATGTGATAGCACAGACAAACTCAAATATTCAGAGTGAAAGAGACCAGACCAAAAAAGAGTGCATGCCGTGTGATTCTGTGGACATAAAAATCTGCGAAGGGCACACTGGTCTCTGGTGACAGAAAGCAGACCCAGAGGTGCTTGCGAACGGAAAGTGGAAGGGACAGGGGGCGGTGCACGGGGTGACGAACACTGTGGGGCGATGGACACATTTGCTCTCTCTCTCGGTTGTAGCGATGGCTTGACGGCTTTGCTTATGTCAAAATGTTAATGACGGTCGCGTTAAATACATACATACACTTTCCTGAATGCCAACTATATCTCTGCAAAGCACATTTTAAAAGAATGGATTTCAGGGCTGGCGAGATGGCTCAGCAGTTACCAGCACTTCCTGTTCTTGCACAGGTCCTGGGTTTGGTTCCCAGCAAACATGTTAGCTCACAACCATCTGTAACTGCAGTTCCAGGCGACAGATGCCCTCTTCTGGCTCCTACACACACACACACACACACACACACACACACACA